GAATGCCGAAATAGAGTATAACAGGTTACCTAAATTTAAAAAAAAATTGAGGGTGGTGTTTTTTTTTTTATTCGCATCGGAATTTTTCTTTGTTTGATTTTTTTTCCATGTTTGACTAAATATATCCTAACTATTGTATCACACAGATACTCTAGTTATTTTTTAAATATTAGCTATATATTAGTAGAATAATATCTGCAAATTATATCATAATGATTAAATTATTTCATGAGATACAGATCTCCAAAGTTTGCCATTTGTCGTTCGAGCAGCCATGTTTGTCAATTTTTAGAAAAATAAATAAATTTTAAATAAATATGATTACTTTATATTACAAGCAAGCTATACCCATAGTTTGCGCCTAAAACGTATTAGAGTTCTCCTAATGTTATCGCTTTAGTTATTCACTCTCAAACGGGCCCCCTCCATCAGTGCGCGTTAATGCAACTGTCCACCACCTCATGCCTTACGATTTTTCCTGTCCCCAAGTATTTTTTCTAGTCAAAACTAAGTTTGGATTCGTTCATACCAGACACTAGACAATAACATATAAAAACATCAGTTGATTTGAAAATGTCGACTAGCCATCCTTTGGTCGATCTTATCTGAAATCACCCAGCGTAAAATTCCTTAAGGAGGATATAATGTCATGTATTATGTGCGTGTTCGCCGTGTATAGCGATCACGACCTATTAAGCCCAAAGAATGGCGGATGCAAGCCGAGACACCGGGAGGGGATAGCCGGGAGGAGAGCCACAAAGAAGCACGGGACGCCTGGAGGCAACAGACTGGGCGCCGTCGCAGACCAGAAAATACGCTTCTCGTGATACCAACTGATTGTAAACTAAACACCTAAATAAATATATCCTTGCATTATCCCAAATTAACCTTTAGATCCCACCCGTCGACCCCTTCGATCATATCAAGGCGACCATCCTCGAACGCAAGTCCGAGTCTGAGAGCAGCAGGCTGCAGCAACTTCTTACATCAGCGGACCTTGGCGACCATACGCCCCTCCCAACTGCTCCATCGAATGCGACAGCTGCTGGGCGATCAAAATCAAGGCCTGAATAACCACGTTTGGCGTGAGTTTTTTCTCCGGCGCCTTTCGCAGAACATGGTCTTGGTTAAAGCAGTCGCGGAAGACATGACACTAGACGAGAATTCGAAACTAGCTGACCAAGTCCCTAAATATTCAAGTTCGTCTAGCATCGGCACAGTCACCTGTGAGTCACCAGGCACACCAAATGACTCAAGACTCGCTACGCTCCAGGACTATATTGGGGTCCTGTGCCGTCGGATTTCTGCCCTGGCACTTTTGTCACGACCTCACCAACCACGGCGCTTGCGTTCCCACTCACGTTACATTGAATCTTCCGTTCCAAGACTGGTCAGGCCGAGCCTCCCTCGTGTGCATGTTTGTACCCCCGTACTTTCGGTAGCACTGCGCGCAAGTCCAGTCAATCCTGCTCGTGGGTGGGATACTAGAAGACCGGCCACTGACGGCGGCAAGCGACACCGGTCGAGAGCAAAGCAGGCTGTTCTACGTCGTTGACAAGATAACCGGCCATCGCTTCTTTGTCAACACAGGAATTGAGGTCAGCGTTCTAACGGCCTCTCATGTGGAAGGGCGACGCAACGAAACGACTGCTCTGCTCTAGGCGGTCAACAATTTAACCATTGCCACCTATGATTAGAGGTCCCTCACGATCAACCTGGGACTGCGCCATACTTTCCGGTCGTTGATCATTGTCGCCGGCATCAAACAGGTTATCCTCTGGACTAATTTCCTCACATTTTACCAACTCGTCGTCGACATTAATTCACGGCGCCTCACCGGCTCACAGACACCTCTTTGTGGATGGCGTGCTCTTCACAGCTACGGCAACTGGACTACGCGCGTTTTCGCCTTTACCTGCTTATGAGAAAATTCTTGCGAATTTTACAAACATTACAAAGCCACGCACCGGAGACTCTCGGGTGAAGCATACCATCGCCGAACACATTACCACCTCGGCCCCCTCCCCGCCCCCCTTGCCTTGGCTCTTACACGCCGGCTGTCCGGAGAACGCCTAGCTATTGCTCGTCGCAAGTTCAAGCACATACTCGAACTCAGCATCGCCCGATAACTATTGAGCAATTATGCGTCTCCACTTCGCATGGTAACCAAGAAAGGCCTTCGCGACTGGAGACCGTGCGGTGACTATCGTGCTCTGAACGCCAAAACCCAACCGTACTGATACTCACTTCCTCGCATACACGACTTCACCATGAATCTGCCGGTATACCAGATATTCTCCAAGATCGACTTAGTCAAGGCATACCGCGAGATTCCTGTGGAGACAGCCGTCATTCCAGAAAGCTTTATCATTACACCGCTCGGCTTCTTTGAGAATGCGAAGATGCCATTCTGAGTCCCGAATTTTCGCCCGGACATTTAAACGCAGCATCAGTGAAGTCACTCGCGGTTTAGACTTCGTCTTTGCTTACCTCAACGATCTCTTGGTCTCAAGCTCGTCCCAGACCATGCACGAGGACAACCTGTGCGCTATCTTCACTTGATTCGACGAAAGCGATTTGATAATAAATTAAATCATATGCGTACTTGGCGCAACAACCATCGCACGAGTATTGTGTTAGCGTTCGGTGAAGACTCGTCTTCAATCAGCAGAGACACGAGTCACGCCCTCTCGGTGCGCTCAAAAATGGCGGCGTCTGCCGGTAATGGAAAGATAATATACTGAAAATGAGGGTGTCGGCAAAGAGGAAAGTTGAGAACAACGGTTGATTGAGAATTAATGAGACTGCCTTTCTTTTCCTTTGCATGGACGTGGGCTGTCAAAGCTGTGCCGGTGTTTGAGAAGGTTACGCGCCCACATGTTTGTGTCAGCAGTTGAAACAAGGTAGCTTTTAGCGTTTCCTAAAGACGAGCGAAAGTACCTTGCACATGTCATCAATGGCGGAGGCAGAAAACACCCCAGTTCAAATGTGGAGGGGATGTGTGAATGATTTGTTCTTTAAGTTTCCTAAAACAAACGACCTTACTATTTTTGCCACCATGTGATATTCGGTCCCTTTCATGACTTAAAAGAAATACAGCACGGAAAGCATTTTCTTAAAACTCCGCTTCAGACAATGAAGTTAAAACGGAGTCGTGTCTTCAACGCTAAAAGATGCGCAAAACAGTAATTTACATTTAATACATTTTTATATACTAATATAATAAAGAATGTATAAATCACTCATTTCAAACAAAACAAAAATGTGCAGAGCCTGTAGTCATTTAATTTGAATAAAAGAAATCGGACTGATCACTTTTCAATCAGAGTCGCTAAACTCGTCAAACACAAAGTTGGACCCCAAGATTGCAGATCTTGCTAATTGGACTCTCGCCACGATGGCGTCACGCGGGACGAGATGTCACTTATTCAAACTATCGGTGCTTAAATTCTAGCGAGATTCTGCAACACAAACTTGTAGCGAGCTTTATAGGAGCGCACGCGAGCAACACCATAGGGCTAACCCACTGAACGGCTGCACTGATGACGTCACGCCCGCGTGTCCCTACATCCCTATTCCGCGTTAGAGTCATTACTGCCTAGATTGACCCAAGTCTACTCTGAACATTCTTGTTGCAAGATTGTCGTTTGTGAAAGTTATTGATGACGACAAATTAACGTTTCACAACTTTTGGAAGGAGTTATTTGAGTCCAAAGGCTTCGCTTCGTATCGAGGCGAAGATTGAACTTCTTGATATTCTGGAGCCGGGCGGAGTGTACACGGCTGTAGAGCTCATCTGCCACCCCTGTGACCAACGCTACCGGGGTCATGCAGAGGCGGTGTGTCTAGTGACGTCAGTGGTGTTTCAAAGATGCGGGGCGACAAGTTCAGGGCAATCAACTCCCCCCTTTGCCCCCTGTTTCAAATTCAAATTCAAATTCGTTTATTTTTGCCACAAACGGTACCTTTGTGACAGGGGCGCTGGAAAAAAAAGCTGCAGGTCTGCAGCTTGACGAGTCCCAGCGCCCCACAACAAGGTAAGAGCGGCACCGGCACATACAGACAAAAAGACGCCACCGGGGAGAGGGTGGGGAGAATGGGCCCCCTTCCTGTCACTCCGCTTCGACGCCCCTGCTTAGGGGTGTTCCAACTGAGCGGCGCCGAAGAACAGTACAGCGTGTAATTTTCGAAAGTATGTTTAGTCTACACCAAAAGTTCTGTAATTAAAACCTTTCGCTTTGTATGAACTCACGAACGGCCATGACGGACTTTCAAGCGAGAGGTTCGTGCTTGGGCTCGTAGTGTGAAGACTCGTTGAGTGACGTCATTCTATAGTTCCCATCTTTGTGGTCAGAGTAAGGATTATTACTCTTTAACGATAAATTCGATGGTGTGTGTTCGAACCAACAGTGACAAGTTTGATCATGTATAGTGGAAGCTTGAAGTCATCGCGTATTTAAAACATTGCCATCATTATTACGGACCGAAATTACTCTTACTTCCGTCGATAAAAGTAGAATTAATCTCAGTTTGGCTAATCTTGGGAAGCCGACCACACCTACGCTTTTGGTAGCCTACGTGACCAATCGACACTACTTAGAGAAAATCGTCTAAGACGACGTTGAGGACGACATCTTTCTAGGACGACATCAAAGAGGATGTCTTGGTCGACCTCGAGGACGACGTCTAGAAAAACGTCTAGGGCGATCTAATGGACAACCTCAAGTACGACGCTGTTAGCAAGTGTCGTGCACTACCACCAGATAGAGCGCGCAAGAGCTCTATTTTTTGTGCGCTGTGTTTTCTTCTTCTTCTCACATCGTTCGAAGTTAGTCCTAATAGAACCGCGATGTGACGCAATGAAGGCTACGCCTCCTCTCTCCTCACCGGGCATTACGTTTATTCCCATTGCGCGCCGCGACCCAGCATATACTCAATAACCAACAGGTTATGGGCCCAGGACGACGCTATGCCGGTGCATAATGTGGTGAGCGACATTAATGTCCTCTGAGGAGCGACTCAACTACGACGAAGGCGCCGACGAGAAACCATGCCGCTGGTCTGGAACTGGAAACGCGGATAACGAGCTCGGCTGTGCTGCAAAAGAAGTGAACTAAGCAAAAACTGCCTCGACGGTTTGTGAAAGACGCCGCCAAACCAGTACGTGTATTCTTGCTTCGCTGGGTGCCACGAGACGCGAAACGGGAACCAAACGCAAGTTCATCGCGGTAAGCCTGTTTCGAACTGCTCTTGACGACGCAAAGCGATACGATGGCGTGCTGGACGAATGCAAGATACAAAAACTCTCAAGCGAAAATTACCATGCGTGGGCGATTCCAGCTAGAGCGGCTCTCGTCCAGAAAGGCTGTTGGGAGGCCATCGAGCCTGGCTATAGTGGAAGAGAAATGACGAACGACGAGAGAAAGATCAATAATAAGGCTTTGATATTGATGTTCCTAGTAGTAGAAGACGCATACCTGGACGACATTGAGGAATGTTCGACAGCTCACGAGGCCTGGGATACACTGGAAGAGATACATTTAAAGTACTACATGCTCTTCAGTTGATGAGACTTTTTCAACACCAAAATTAAGCCAGACGGAACCATGACGAATTACCTGGGTCGAATAATGATCCTACACAGGAAGCTTTCAACGTCAGCATACGCCTTCACCGACAGGGAAGTGGCACTGGTGATGCCGATGGGCTTGCCAGAAGCGTATGAACCACTTATCCTAAATTTTGAGCAAGACGACGGAACGCTCACGACGAAGAAAGTGAAAGCAAGGCTGCTGGTGGAAGAAAAGCGGCAGATCAAATGTGAAGATGACAGACTGAGTGAGAGTGAAGAAATCAAGGCCCTCATGACGAAGAGCAAGCCCAATACACAGAGCAGTCAGCTCCATAGATTTAATGGGCAAGAACATTTTGCAAGGAAAGAAGAGACTAGCACTGCTATGAGATCCTCTGAACCGTAACGACGAGTCCGGTGTTTTGCGTGCGGAAAATTTTGACACATCACCAGAGAATGCAAAGAGGGTCCTGATGACGAAGGATGCAGCTCACTGAGAAGAAGAGATTCAAGTTGACTGAAGAAGGCTCTCTGTGCCAGAGGTGGGAGTTCGTCAAGGTCACACATCTGGTACCCTGACAGTGGAGCAACTGACCACATGACGTCAAACAGCCAAATTCACCAGCTTCCAGTCCTGCTACTCGCCGGCTGAGGCTGCAAACAAGGAAGTAATGGAGATTTTCGGGAAATGACAAGTCGAGATTGAACTCTCGAAAGACAGCGGTGGCATTCCCATCGAGCTTAGAGATGTCCGTTACGTATCCAGCTTGGGCGGCAACCTCTTCTCAGTTGGGAAGATTTAGGAACGTGGAGTGAACGTGACTTTCAGCAACGGAACGGCTAAAGTGAGTGAAGCCAATGGTGAACTGATTCTCATAGCAAAGTGTGACGGTAAATTGTACAGCGTGAGTGAGTCGTGTGCAACGTTGAAGTTAGCAAAGGCGACAGACGTTGCCTTGTGGCATCGACGCCTCGGTCATCTCCACCATGAAGCTGTCGAAAAACTGCGAAAGTGGGAGAAGCAATGAAGACGCCAAGTGCTCGACGTGTTCACTCGGCCAATTGAAGAGAAACAACTTTCCGAAGACTGGTGGAACGAGGGCTAAGGCCCCATTGGACCTGGTTCACTCGGACGTTGTTGGCATGATCACCCGTGTTTTGAAGGGAGGGTCGAACTACTTTGTAACGTCCATTGATGACTACTCCAGATACACTGTAGTGTACCCAATGAAGACGAAAATGAAGTGCTGGACAGATTCCACCAATGCAGACAAATCGTCGAGAACCTTCGCAAAACGAAAGTGGAGATGCTACGCAGTGACAACGAAGGTGAATACATCAGCCTGGAATTCACCACATACCTTGCTAAGCATGGTATCTTGCGACAGCTGATGGTGCCCAGACCGCCTCAGCGAAATGGGGTGGTGAGAGGATGAACCGATCGTTGCTGGACACAACGAGGTGCCTACTGATTGAATCGGGCATCAGAAGAGAACTATGGGCTGATGTTGTGGTGAATGCATCACACATTCGCAACAAAACAAGTGTCCATCGAAAGCCCTTGACGGGGCGGCGTCCGAAGCCCTATGGCTTGGCAGAGAGGTCAAGTTGAGCAACCTAAGAGCGTTCGGATGCAAGGTATGGATGGTTGACAACAACAAGCGCAGGAAGACAATGCTCGACCCAAAGGCAGTGGAGCGTATCCTGGTGGGTTACCCAAAGGGAGTAAAAGGCTATAAGCTCTGGGACTGGCGCAACAATAAGTTCTTCGTCAGTCGTGACGTGACCTTCGACAAAAACAGCTTCCCATGCAAGATTGAGGCTGGAGGTCGACTCACTGAGGAAGGCGGAGACTGTGCTGTAGACCGGACCACAGTCACTGTTGATGAAGAGATCCAACCAGAGGAAGAGAGAAGTGAGGATGGTACCCCCTACTGGCGACGAAAACGAGATCTCGGAAGAGGAAGATATTCCTACTCCTCAAGTGTAAGAGACCACCAATGTGTTATGTTTTAAGACGTTCGGAGAGGATGGTAGTGAAGAAGCAACTTCCGAAACCCTCTCGTACCTGTTGTCTGACGAGGCAAGCAGCTTAGTATATCCTCAAACAGTGGAGGAAGCACTCTCAATGCCCGATGCGCAGGAATGGAGAAAAGCCATACAGGAGGTGCTACAAAACCTGAAGAAAAATGACACATGAGGAATGGTTCCAAAACCAAAGGACCAACACGTCATCAAATGCAAGTGGGTATTCAAGAAAAAGTTCGATCAAAATGGTGACCTTGAGCGTTACAAGGCTTGACTTGTTGCCTGTGGTTATTCTCAAATAGAAGGAAATGACTTCAAGGCGACCTTCTCGCCGGTGTTGAAGCTCAAGTCTATCCGAACACTGTTAGCAGTCGCAGTTGGAAGAGACTGGGAGATTCATCAAGTTAATATCACTGCTGCATATTTAAATGGGACATTGAAGGAGACCGTGTACATGAAACAACCTGCGAATTACGAGGACTGCAAGGACGACGTATTTCTCTTGAAGAAGAGCCTGTCTGGACTACGTCAATCCGGACGGGAGTGGAACCACTGAACAAGTTTCTGAAGACGGAAGGGTTTTCTCGGTCCAAGCCGAATCTATGCGTGTACTTTGAGCCATGGGGGTGGGGGGGGGGGGGGGGACATCATTGTAGGTGTCTACGTGGAGGACCTGATTCTCGAAAAGGACGAAGAGGCGATCAAGAGCTTCAAGAGAAGCATTGGACGTAGATTATACATCAAGGACCTCGGAGAGGTTAGCCACATCCTGTCAATCAGAGTTGTACGACATGAAGGTGAAGCACTCACATTGAACCAAACAGCTTACGCCGAAGAAATCTTTGAGTCATTTGGTATGACAAGTGCTAAAGACGCGGCATCACCGCTTGATCCTGGAGTGAAGTTTCAGAGATCTACTACTGCCTAAACAGAGAGGGAGTTGAAGCCCAAGTACCGACGAGCGGTTGGAGCACTTCTTTACTTAGCAGGAGGCACAAGGCCAGACTTGGCATTCGCAACCACTTCTATGAGCCAATTCAGTGAACATCCCACCTTGCGGATGTGGAACGGCATTAAGCCCATTTTGAGGTATGTGCAACAGACACAGAAGTATACCCTCACATACACGAAAACAAGAGGCTGTGTACAAGGTTTTTGTTATGCAGATTGGGCGAATGATTCAAATGACAACTGGTCATTTAGTGGGTACGTTTTTATGCTGGCTGGAGCTGCCATTTCCTGGAGTAGCAAGAAGCAAAAGTCCACTGCATTATCCAGCATGGAAGCCGAATACTTTTCAATGTGCCAAGCGGCAAAGGAGATACTGTCGCTCCAACACTTTTTCAACGAAATAGGTGCCCAGGAGTTTATCCTTGAGCCTCAAGTTTTGCAAGTTGACAACCAAGGAGCTATCGCTTTTGCAAGCAAGCAAATGACGTCAGAGCGCAGCAAACATATTGACCTGCGACATTTCTTCTTGAGAGAGAAGATTGAACAAGGAAGATAAGACCACTGTAGGTGAACTCATCACACAACTGTGCCAACGCACTAACCAAGGCACTCAATGGAAGAAGAACCCGTGAACCTGTGAACACTGGGGTCTTCAGGTGTGTAATGGGCGTAGTGGCCCATGAAGGGGGGGCGGAGGTGTTAGCAAGTGTCATGCACCACCACCAGATGGAGCGCGCGAGAGCTCTTTTTTTGTGTGTGCTGTGTTTTCTTCTTTTTCTCTCTTCGTTCGAAGTTAGTCCTAATAAAACAGAGATGTGACGCTATGGAGGCTACGCCTCGTCCCTCCTCGCCAGGCATTACGTTTTTTTTTGTTTGTTTTTTCTTTATTTGTTTTGCGGGTTTGCGGCGTAGGGGGCAGAGATAAAGGCGTGATGCCTGACAAAGCCTCTGCCCCCTAAAGTCCAGCAGCTCAAAGTAGTTACATAATAACAGATTCTACAAAACATCATACAGTTAAAATAAAACAAGAGAAACAAGTCAAAGAAACAAGAAGAATAGACACTATATTCATTTGCTAAAAAAACTCTATAAACGAGTGTTGGTCGTAAGAAACCAAAAACAGCAACAACAAACAGTAACAACAAAAAAACTAGAATGCAATCTTGTGCTCCTCCGACATATCAGCATCACAAGCAAGTTCTCATGAAGGAATACAATGAAAACAAATCTTTGAAATTAGCCATATCTAGTGATTGTATTCTTGGTGAAATACACTATCCAAATGAGAATGCGATTTCACTGCCAACCAGGAAACTTCTACAATCCCTTTTAAAACCAGGTAACGTGTTGTTAAAGTTAATGTTGAAGTCCGTTCTATTTAGAGTTTTAGTTGTTTGAAAAATGAAAGTTTGTTGACCATAGTTGGTGCTTATGGCCGGCATCCTTCGATTCGGATTTCTAATCGGATATACACTAAGGCTGTTCGCTGGTGTGGTGTAAAGTAGATTTTTATGTATCCACAGTAAAAGTTTGAAGTAATATATTTGATCTGCCTTAAGAATATTATATTTGATGAAGAGTGGTTGTGTTCTTAAATTTCTGGCATCCCCTTTATAATTTTCACACATTCGTAAGATTTTTTTTTTGCAAAAGGATAATTTTATTATAATTCGCCGCCGTCGTCGTTCCCCAGACCAGAATACCATAACAAATTTTGGAGTAGAATAAGGAATAATACAATGTGTGTTTTAACCAAGTCGGTATCAAATTTTGTATTCTATAAATGCATCCTGTTACCCGGGATAAATCAGCCTTTAGTTTGTTTACATGGCAATTCCATGATAGATCCTCAGCAAACCAGACGCCCAAAAATTTTTGCTCTGCTACCTGCTCCAATGTTGTGCCTTCGTATATTACTTTAATGGAACTATAGTCTTGCTTATTTGCTGGTTTAAAAATGATATACTTAGTTTTTTTTTTGTATTTAATTGTAGACGATTTATTTGCAACCATATTGATAATTTTGAAAGATATTCATTAGCCAACTTCTCGACGCACTTTTTCGTCGCACCAGCAAAGAATATATTTGTGTCGTCGGCATACATTATTAGTTCAGGGGAACCTGGTATTGTCGTAATGTCATTAATGTACACGAGAAATAACAGAGGACCTAAAATAGAGCCTTGAGGAACACCATGTGGTATTTTCAATTTATTAGATGAATGGTCATTTACAGATACATAATGATAACGATCTGAAAGATACATTTTTATTGGTCTTAGTGCAACTCCTCGTACACCGTAGATTTCAAGTTTTTTCAATAGAATATTGTGCTGCATAGTATCAAACGCTTTTTGCAAGTCCAAAAAGTCAATAAGAGTCAATAATTTGTTTTCAATATTTTCAACAATTTTATCCTTTATATCA